GGAGCAGCGTGGTGCTGTGAAGAAGCTGCGCTCAGAGAACCAAACCAAGCTTTTGGGAATTAAAAACATGATAGCAAAAATGGAAGACAGAAATGGAGAGGGAAATTGAGGAAATCCTCCAGAAAACAGCAAATATGTGGAAACAGAGAGAGAGAGAAGAGTTAGCAGGCGAGACCGTGAAGCCAGCATTCAAACAGAACAGCCTGGAAAAGACGAACGGAGAAAGTGGAGACGGGAGGGTCATAAATAATCCCCACATCTGCCCTCAACAGCGGCTGCTCCGGGTAGAGAGGTGCTCCAAGGAGCCACGCCAGGAGGCTTTGGTGGGGGAGCTGGTCCAAGAGGAGGCTGAGGGAATAGGATGGCCTTGGCGTCTTCCCAACTCAGGGGAGGGTGCCAGAAGGCCCTGGTGGAAGCCGGCTGAGGGTCTGAGTCCAGTCCAGATGGTGCTTGAGCTGAAGGATGGAAGAGACTTTTTTCTGAGAAGCAAGGATCAGGAAGGGTGTGGCCCCACGTGGCGTGGCCAAGGGAGCCCCAGGATGTGTGGCAAGAGCTGAGGAGGCTGCATTAGTGACTTGTGCCTGGAGAATACGGGAGACTCGCACCCCAGACCATTATTAAGTCTGGAAACAAAGCGGCGCTGGAGTGAGTGGGTGGGCTCCGAGCGGCAGGGGCCCAGAAGGCTGGCCGGAAGGAGCTGGCCCCGGCTTTGTGGGGAGTGAGAAGCAGTGCACATGCGTTAGTTGTCCAGGGAAAGCCAAACTGAGCATTCGCTCCTGGGAGGGACCTGGGCGTGGAACCGACTAAGAACTCAAGCCTGGTAACAGATTCAGGGGTGGGTTTCTGCTTCTGGACATGAAGTGGCCCATTATCCTGAAAGAGCTTCCTGTGCAAAATACCTAGAAGCCCTGGTCAGTTTGACCAACAGGCTGACCGAACAGCTCAAGGAGGCAAAATAGTGGGGCAGACCAGGGTTGTGGGGTGGGGGCACCTGCAGCCGAGATTTTAGCAGCTGAGTGGCAGGGGGACCAGAGCCCCCCAGACCAGACCCTCTAAGGCCCCATCCTCAGTGAGAGGACGACCGATGACACAAACCCTCGGCCATGGGCTCCAGGAGTAGTTTTTTTCCAAACTTTCTTTTAAGTTCTCTCTTGAGCACTTGTGACATGGTTGCCCTTCTGTAGATGGAGGCTTAGGGTTTATTCTTCCTGTTAGACTGTGAAACCCATGCTGAGAAATTCGCCTGACGAGTGGGCTGGGTTAGAGGTGCGTGGGCTGGTGAGTGGGCCCATCCCGCAGATCTGTAGTCCCTGGGGTCGCCCTGAGGCGGCCTCATGGCTTGGCCCTGCCTGGCGCTGGGCTCTGGCCTCCAGAGGCCCGGCTCTGAAGCTCGCTGTCTCGGGGACCCCCCCCATTTCACCTCAGCACCCCTCCCCTTCCCTGGCACCCAGTCTTCCTTCCACGCAGGTACTGGGGGCCCACGCCTGCCTGCTCAGCAGCCCTTGGGGAGCATGTGGCCTGCGTGTCTGTCAGGGGGAGGTGGGCCCAGCCCCTTCTGCCTTACGGCAGACTGGCAGGCTGGGTGAGTGCCTGAGGGCATTTTGGGGAGGTTGGTACCTGTACTGGTTTCCTAGGGCTGTCGTAACAAAGTACCACAAATTGGGGGGCTTAAAACAATAGTAACGTATTCTCTACAGCTCAGGAGGCCAGAATTCCATGAGTAGGGGGTGACAGGGCTGTGCGCCCTCTGCAGCTCTGGGGAGAGCCCTTCCAGGCTCCCTGGCGTCTGGAGGTGGCGGTGAACCTCAGTTTCTGGGCTCAAGGCTGCATCGCCGCGGTGTCTGCTCCTCTGCACCGTGTGTCTGTCTCTCTAAGGATACGGTCGTGTCGGGTTTAGGTCTCACCCTACCCAGCGGCAACCTCATCTTAACTAACGGCATCTGCAAAGACTGTATTTCCAAAAGCCGCGTTCTGAGGTTCTGGGGAAGGCATGAGTCTGGGGGACTCTTCACCCCAGCACAGTTCTGTACTCCCAAGCTTGGCATCCCATGGGCCGTCGGGGGCTTTAGAAGGTGCAGTGATGCAGAAGTAGGTGCCGCCTGCCAGCCTGTGCAGCAGACACCACTGGGGTCCCTGCAGCTCTGCAGCACTTCAGCGAGAGCACCCTGGAGTATCTGGCCAACCTGGACCAAGCCCCGGACCCCACGGTCAGGAAGGATGCCTTCGCTGCCGATATCTTCAGTGCCTATGACATCCTCTTTCACCACTGGCTGCCAAGCCGAGAAGCCAAGGTATGGCCTGCTCGGGAGTCTACCTGCAGGTCCCCACAGAGCAGGGCTTGTTTTCTGAAGCCTCCCCTGCCCCAGGGCCCCAGTGCTCCCTGGGGGAGGGCCGGGCGTGATGACTTCACACGGGTCACACGTGCCACCCTGGTTTGGACGTGAACACCTGTCACTGTCCCCTCTCAGCTGCGGCTGGCTGTGGTGGAGGCCCTGGGGCCCATGAGCCATCTGCTGCCCAGCGCGAAGCTAGAGGAGCAGCTCCCCAAGCTCCTGCCTGGAGTCCTCGCCCTCTACAAGAAGCATGCTGAGACCGTGCACGTGTCCAAGGTGCGGGGAGCCTGGCGCCCCAGGTGGGGGCAGCCCTGAGGGGGTCACATTCCTCCCTACCGCCCTGCACTGGACGGGAGCCTGTGAGCCGGGACCACTTGGCCTCCTGGGGCCCCTTTCCTGATCCCTCCCCTCTCCTCCGAATTCTAGATGCAGAGGTAGGGCTTTCTTATTTAAGCCCCAAGGTGGGGTGTACTCTGGGAGGGTCCCACAGTCAGCCCGGGTGGGGCTGGGGCCTGAGGGGGACTGACAGCCCCTCTCCTCCCTGCCACGAGCAGAGCCTGGGCCAGATCCTCGAGGCAGCCGTGAACGTGGGCAGCCGCACACTGGAGGTCCAGCTCGACATTCTCCTGGCCGCTCTGCACACTCAGGTGGGCTGGGGGCGGGCCGGTGTGGACCCCAGGGTGGTGCTGAGGGCTGGTCCAGCCAGATGGGGCTGAGGTGGGTGCAGCTCTCCACGATGCCGCCACCTTGTCTGCTCCATGCTGGCTTGTGCAGTGTGACACAGGACACCCCTCCCTAGGCCTAATGGGGGCAGGAGCAGGCCGCCAGCAGGGCAGGGGCAGCGTCTGCACTGGGTGTGGGTCCCGAGAGCCCGAGCACAGGCAGAGCAGAGGAGAGGCCCAGGTGGTCATGAGCAGGACCTGGCGAGGGGAGGGTCCTGAAGTCTCTACCAGAGAAAGGGCTTGGAGGAGGCCCCTCAGCCCTGCAAACCAACGCCCTTCAGGTCAGATGAGAGGCATGGAGGTCAGGTGGAGGGAACTGTGCGGGGAAGCGGGGGTTACTCTGCAGTTGGTGGGCTGTGGGCTGAGGGTGGGGACGTGCATTCAGTCCAGGGAACTTTCTGAGGGAGAAGAAGAGCAGAAAACCTACGGGAGCGAGAGCAGGCGGCCCTGCAGGGGCCGGGCTGACTCCTGGGCGCCCCTCACTCCCCCATCTCTGGGCCTGTGGCTCCTCCTGCACCAGCTGGGATGCCAGCCTGGCCCCACAGACCCCTGGCCCAGCCCTCACCTGCTGCACACACAGACTGCGCCCCTACTCTTGGTCCCAGCGAGGGGCCGAGGGAGGCCTACAGTAGAGAGATTAAACAGTAATTTAAGTGCGGTGAGCAGTGGCAATGAACTTGAAAAATTGTACGAAATGGATAGACTCCTAGAAAAAAATTTTAAATGTCAACATTGGCAGTGAAGAAATAGAAAACTTGACTAAACCAATAAAGAAATGGAAACAACATTCCAAGACCTACCTTCCTTAGAACAAACCCAGGACCCATGTGGCTTTAAGGTTGAGTTCTACCAGACTTTCGAGGAACAGCTAATTTCTGTCCCATACAGGTGGGCTTGGAAGTTAGAAAAAGACCCAGAGCCACCTGACTGATTATGTGAGGCTAGTCTTGATTCCAAACCCAAGTCAGGACCCATCCAAGAAGGTGTGAGAACAATTACGAGGACAGACGTTGGGCCCTGGGACATGGTGAAGCTGACTGACCCCACAGCGTACCCCCACCACTGGGGCACTGGTCCTGCCAGGGATGGGGGCTGGTTAGCTGCCTTCATCACAGAAACAGATTAGGGAGAATATTCTCTGATCTCAATCGATGCAGAAAAAGCTCTTAATGAAGTCTGACACCTGTTTATCCTTAAAACTCTTAGCAACTAGCCTTGGAAAGGAACTTCTTTAACTTGAAGTTCGGATACCCAAACCCTCAGCATTCATCAGAATGACTGGGATGCAGCACGTCCCCTCAGTGTCAAGAGCAGGGGAGCCGCCCTCGGTGTTGATGGCAGCGGGGCAGCTCCTATGAGGAAAGCGGCAGCAGTGGGCCGAGAAGCGGTGGGGTGGGGGGACCTAAGATGTACGGACCGTCAGGTGTAAAATCAGCTGCAAAGAGGAATTGCACAATGCGGGGATGCAGCCAATTTTGTAAGAACTGTAAATGGAATATAACCTTTAAAAATTATACTGTAAATCTGTAACTTACATAATATTGTACATCAAGTATACTTCAATTAACACCCCCCCACAACCCCCAAACAGAAAGGAAGTGGGAGGAGAGAGGGCAGACCTGTCATTTACCTTTGCCAGCACCTAGCCTCCATCCCCGACTCTGCTTCCCCTTCTCCCAGACTGGCCGGCCCTGCCCTCCCCTGCGGGCACATGCGCAGCAGGACCTGGGGGCCTTGTCTGTGCACTGCTGAGTCCCAGTGCCTAGAATAGTGTCTCCTGTAAGCACTCGAAAGACTTACTTCAAGGACGACTGAGTTACTCATCTGGAAATTCACTCATGTGAACTGAGCCCACTCACAAGCACTCACACTGAGTTTGGCCAGGTTGCCAGTGACCAACCAGCCTGTGGAAATCCACAGCCCTTTCCTCCACCAGTAGTGACCATGAGAAGGTACAAAAAATGACATCAACAATAGGACATAAACTTATTGTGAAGTGTCTGGGAATCAGTCTAACAAAGGATGCCCACGATCTCCACAGAGAAAAAGTGTACAACTGAAGAAAGTGAGAAAAATGAGATAGGAAGCACAGTGACATCTACTCACTGTAGGAATGACGGCATGACGCCAAAAGCAAGCCGCTGCTGTCTGGGGGCAGAGCGGGGCTGGAGAGCGGGCTTGGAAGGGACATGCAAACTCGTAAGGGCTGAGAAGGCAGAAAAATGCGATACTTTCTTTTCTTAGAGCTGTCCACATCTCTTCTTTTTCTATCGGATCTTAGGGCTTTTCTCATATTGGTCTATAGCAGGTTTTTACAGTCTTGTGTCATGTATGTATGAATGTCTAGCCCTACTTTGTCCTTTACTTTGTAGCTCTGTCTATGATCTTTGGCCCCCCAGATTATTCCTACATCAACATTTATCCATCTTTTATGCTCTAGTTCAGTCTGTGTTATTTACTTAGAAAAGGCTTTCAAGTTCCACAGTTTTCAGATTCTCCCATTTTACCCTATACTCTTACTGTTTAATCCATCTGAAATTTATTTTAGGGAAAGAGTAAATGAGGATCCAGTTTTATCTTTTTTCCAGATGACTCCCCATTTGCATTAGTTATCTGTTGCCATTTAACCAATTACTGCACAACTTAGCACCTTAGGACAGTGGACAGTTGATTATCTTGAAGTCACTGTGGAGTCCAGGACCAGCTCAGTCTCCCTCTCAGGGTCAGGCTCATGTGGGCTCCCCTGGCGGGAGGGTCTGCTTTCAAGGCGGCTCCCTCACTGCCGCTGGTGGGAGGGAGGCCTCCGTTCCTCCCCGGCCCTGCTTGAGTCCTCACAACACGCACTGGCTTCCCCAGGACAGGTGACCCAAGGGAGCAGGCAGGAAGCAGTGGTGCCTTCTGGGACCAGGTTAGGTCTTTGCCATGGAAATAGCAAGGAGCTGGCTGGGAACCTGGAGCAGAGCCCGGGCCCCCATTCCCCTCAGCTCCTTCTCTGCTGATCAGGACGGGCAGAGCCCGGGCTAGGGTGAACCTGTGGTTCCAGGGGCTGCTGGGCACTTTGGGGGTCATGAGATGGGCTGTCCAAAGAGTCACCTTAGAGCCCTTTGTACGGAGACCCCATGAGTGTCCTTACCTGTGCCCTTGAGGGTTGTGTGTGGCCTGGGATGTTCCCCAGAGCTCAGCACCCTGAGTGTCACCTGCTGAGGTGCAGTGGGGCCCAGAGACACATTTGCCAACAGCCTCTGTTCTTGCTTTTTCAGTGCAAGTTTTTCTGTTACAGTTTGGAACAAATGGATGTAGGCGTTTGGTTTCCAGTCCTGTCTGTATTCGAGAGATGAGTGGGTTCCTGCGTGTGCCCAAGAGTGTAGTGCCCAGGGGGTGGGACTCTGTCTCCTTCCTCATGAAGAAGTATCCTGGGAGTCTCTTCTCCTGGCTGCTGGTGGGGCGGAGGTGGCGGTGGGGAGTGGAGAAGGAGCCCGGGCTCTTTGCCCTTAAGCTGACTTGGAGGCCAGCTGTGTGTGTGCTGCCCCCTCCCCTGACACAATGTGGGGGCGGAGGTCCCTGAAGGGGAGAGCGCTGGAGGCCGAGGCCGTGCACCCGCCGTGGGGGTGGGGGTGGAAGCCTGGGCTCCCGCCAGTCTGTCTGGGCCCAGCATCTTCCAGAGGGCTGGCCCTCCCCTCCAGCCCGCTGGGTCCCAGGCAGCCGGCTGGCCTGTGACCACCGCCCTCTGTGCCTGGGCAGGTGTGTGTGCCTGTGGAGTCGTCCAGCCCGCTGGTGATGAACAACCAGAAGGAGGTGCTGCGCTGCTTCACGGTGCTGGGTGAGTGGCCAGGGTTGGGGGGAGGCCCTTTGTGTTGTCTGGGGTTCTGCCCGCTGAGGCCTGGCTGGGCTGCAGCCCCCAGCGTCCGTCCTCCTGGCCGCCGGGGTGTGGAGGCACAGGCGGCCCACGGAGAGGACAGCTTGTCACCAGTAGCTCTGATGAGCACTTGCCCTGCAGCTTGCTGCTCACCTGACCGCCTACTGGCCTTTCTGCTGCCCAAGCTGGACTCCAGCCATGAGAGGACCCGCGTGGGCACCCTGCAGGTGCTGAGGCACGTCATCTACTCGGCCGGTGAGTGCCTGCGGGGAGCTGAGACGAGAACGCAGATGTGGGCCATCTCTTAGGTGAAAAGGAGCATTGTGCCCTGAACTCTTGAAGTACTGTTCCCAAATTTCTATTTTGCAAAATTCCAAAGTTTATGAAAAATTGCAATAGTAGGGCTCCTCTGCCTGCCAGCAGGTCCATCACAGACGCTGGCTGCGGACACCAGGACGTGGTGCCTTTGCTCCTGGGCCTGGTCATCCCCACTGGGTCGGCGGCTCGGAGCCTTGCAGGCCTGTCCCGTGGTCTACTCGCCGCCACTCAGCAGGGGGTCTGGTCAGAGGCACACACAGCTTAGTTGTCTCTTGGACACGGACCTTTGGGGTGAGCTGAGGCCGTTCTGTAGAATGGCCCTCAGTTTCCACATATCTGACGATTTCCTCACAATGAAACGGAAGGATTCAGGTTTTTGCTTTACAGCTCATGTGGTCAGCAGTCAGCGCGCGCATGCCGCACACCTGTGCTGGTTCTCCTTGGTGCGTCTGGGGCACTGAGCCGTGGCCAGGGGTGCGCCCAGCCTGAGAGCTGAGGCTGTCTGTGCAGTTGTAGAAGCAGAGAGGACAGGACAGACCATGCGTGGCCCCAGAAGCCTGAATCTTCTCTGTCCGGCACTTTATGGAACAGCTGGGCAGCTCATGGCTTTTGAGGGGTGACAAGGCCGCAGCTTGTCGGGGTCGGGGGAAGACCATACTGGGGGCTGGGCTGTGCAGGGCGCTTGACGTGGATGGGGAGGACAGAAAGTCAGGCCCAGCAGCCTCTCCCCATACCCGTCGTGTCCACCCCCACCCCCCGCCATCACCAGTGAGGAGGTGAAGGGACAGGCCTGGGGGGCCTGCAGGCGGCATGGAGCCCTTGGCAGGCTCAGGACGGGGCAGCCCAGCTGGCGGCGTCTCACTGCCCTGCCGTTTCTGTTGTTAGAGGCGCTAAGCGCGCGCGCACATGTGTGTTTTCCTCCGTGAGTGCTCCCACTGCAGTGACGTCCCCAAGTCCCCTCTCTTTGCCCACGTTTATGTTTTCCTCTAAGTTGTTTCTCTGGACACTGACGTGCATGTCAGTGTCAACGTGCAGAGAACAGGTTGTTTCCTTAACCGGGTGACGTAGTTGAAAGTGCACTTTTTCACTCTCCAGTGCGTCGGGGACTTACAGTGTCAGGACATGGAGATCATCGTGTTTTGTCATTTTTGAGCCTATCACACGTACAGAAAACGTACGCCATTTAAAGTTCAGCTCCACATGTGGTCCTGAGAAGAGCCCTCCATCCACCCACGGCCAGTGCCAACTGGGACCCTACCTTGCCCAGGAGCCACCCTAGGCTCCCCCACGGGGAGGGGCAGTGTCACCATTGTGCAGGCTGTGCGCTTGGGACCGCAGGTGTGAAACACTGGACGATTTCCTGCAGTGACCTGTGGGGGTTACCGCACAGTGGGGTTCCCATGCCCTCCTCCCCATGACATGTCCAGTTGATCAGCCCACTGCAGCCTCTCCTCTCCTGGGGGAGGCTCGCAGCTTTTCCAGTTTGCCGCTACCACGAACATCTTCCCGAGCGCAGTCTGTTGCATGTGACCAGGGGTGGAGTCTCAGGTCACACGGAGGCACACGTTCCGCTTTGGTAGATGAACCCTTGCGTCCCCGAGAGTAGCCGTCTACACCCGTCATGCGCGCACCCGAGGCGCTCCTCGACCATTCACTTCAGCGGTGTCGGGGGCTGTGCTGCGGTTGGGCACGCTTGCAAGCATATTTCTCTTAGAATGAGAACTTCATTGAGAACTTGTTGATGTATCAGAAGTCCTTAAACATTTTTATTTCCTTGATGACAACCAGAGTTTTTTTGTTTTTTCAAATTTATTGAGATATAATTGACATACAATGTTGCGTGAGTTTATTTTTTATTTTAAAAAATTTTTTATTGAAGTATAATCATTTATAATCAATGTTGCGTTAGTTTCTGGCATACAGTATAGTGATTCAGTTGTACATACGTATTTATTTTTTCATATTCCTTTCCATTATAGGCCATTACAAGGTATTGGATATAGTTCCCTGTGCTGTAGGACTTTGTTGCTTATCTATTTTTTTATTTTTAACTTTTATTTTACTTTTTATTTTTACATTTTTTGGCGGCGGGGGGTGAGGTAATTAGGTCTATTTATTTATTTTAGAGGAGGTACTGGGGATTGAACTCAGGACCTTCTGCCTGCTAAGCATGCGCTCTGCCACTTGAGCTATACCCTCCCCCCATCTATTTTATGCAGAGTGGTTAGTATCTGCAAATCCCAAGCTCCCAATTTAATGTGGTGGAACTTCAGGGCATACTACTGGATGGACGGCACAGCCTCTTCCCTGGCTGGGGTGGCCGAGATCAGGACCTCCTCTCCCCACTGCAGGCCTTCCTCACCACAGGAGCACCTGCGTCCCAAATGCCAGCCGTGTGGGAGGCACTGCCATGTGTCTTGAGCTCCTGCCGGCTCTGGGCACCTGTTGGAAGGCCCTGCCACTGTCTGTCCCAGAGGCGAGGACAGGAGGCCAGCTGAGGTTCAGGAGTACCCCTGCCTCGACCAGCATGAGGGGCGGATCTGGGATGCAAACCCAGGTCGGAGTGAACCAGAGCCCCACTGCTTTGAAAAGTCCTCAAACTTTGAGTGAAAATGTCATAACATGATGAAAATGTAGGGCCCTGGTTGGGTTCCCACAGGTCCCAGAGGAGAGCGTGTCCCTCTGCACTGGAGTCCAGGGAGCATGTCTTGTGCCAGGTGGACAGCACACCTTCCCAGTCAAGTCAGTTGTGTACAAAGTGCCTGCCTCTTGTTTTCTCCCCGTGGATGTCTTTCTGTGTTGCTTTCTTGTCTTCTGGTGTCAGCCATTGTTACTGAAGAATCTGACGACAACCTGAACTTCCTTGTACAGGTTTGGTCTTTTTCGCTTGGATGCCCAAAGGAATTTTAATTTTTTATTCTAAATCCAGGAATTTTAATGACTCTGTTGGCTGCTCTGAGGTGATAACTTTTCCTCAAGAATGTGGAGGGACCTTTCATGTGTAATTTCCAAACTTAGTTTATCTCAGGAATTTTTTTTTAAATTACAGTATTTCAATTTTCCACTGTTTCAGAATTCTTCTTTGGAACTCTCTGTTATATGTGTGTTGCTTCATCTTTGCCTGTCTGCTCTACTTTTAAAATCAAATCTTTTAAAGCTTTTTGGCCTCCAGTCATCTTTTCCCCCCAGAGTTTCATTTTCTAGGGCTGAGGATAAATTACATTCGGTAGAATGCACAAATCTTGAATGTCCAACCTGGTGACATACACATTGTTCACCCATGTGACCATTACTGAAATCAAAATGTGAAGGAAAAAAAATCCCCAAAGTTTCCCTGTACTTATTCTCAGTCACTCCATCCTAAGAAGTAACTATTTTTCTGACTCCTGTCACAATAAATTAATCCTGCCTGTTCTTGAATCTCACGTGAGTGAGTTCGCTGTGGTAGGTAGTCTCTCTGTCTGCCTTCTCTTCCTTCCATAAAGTCTTTGACGTTCATATGTGTTATGTGCATTAGTTCATCCTTTGTTGTTGCTGAGCTGTATTCCACTATGTTTTGTGAAAAAATGTTCACTTTCCTGTTAACGGACATGGGATTGCTCCCAGGTCTGGGCAGTGATGAAGAAAGCCGCCGTGACCTGACCTTCCTGGTACAAGTCAGTTTGTTGGCACGAACGTGTTTCTCTAGGTGCGGAATTACGGACGAGGACAGGTGCTTATTTATCATTATCACAGACTGCCAGGTGGCTTTGTGAGTGGCCGCCCTGCTTCCTGGCTCACTTGCAGCGCTCGGCAAGTCCCGTCGCTCCGCGTCCTGCTGGTTCTGGCGCTGTCAGTCTTTGTAAGTTTACCATTTTGGTGGGTGTGTAGTACTGTCTCACCATGGATTTAGTTTGAATTTTCCTAATGAATACGTTGGCCAATCATCTTTTCACGTTTATTGACCTTCACATATCTTTTTGTGTGAGGGAGGTTCCTGTTCAGGTCTGTTGCCCATTTTTAAATTGGATTGTTTGTCATTGTGGTTACGTTTAAGAGTTCTTTTTTGGATACATAGAGGTATGTTCTTTTATGGTTTGTGCCTTTATGTCTAATAAAAACTTTGCCTTTCCAGATGTCACGAAGGTGTTTTCTTCTAGAAGCTTTACTGTCGGCATGTCCATATTTAGTTCTGTGATTCACCTTTTAGTTAGTTCTGGAGTGTGATGTGAGATGTAGGGAGCCGGGTGTGCTTTATTTTCATGTGGACATTCAGTGGCTCCGGCACCGCTTGCTGGAAAGACTTCTCTTTCCCCGCTGAATTGCTTTAGTGCTTTGCAGAAAACCCAGTGGCTGTATGTATTAGTCAGCTGAGGTTGGGTACAGAGCACCCCAACCGTCAGGGGCTTAGACAACAGAACGTGTCCTCACAGTTCGGGGATCAAAGTGCTGGCAGGTTTGGTTCCTTCTGAGTCTGTCCTGTGCCCTCGCCCAGCTCAGGTGGCCCCTGGCATCTGTGGTGTCCTTGGCTTGTGGACACATCACCCTGATCTCTGCCTCCATCGTCATCTCAGCCAGTACCTCCCTGTGTCCCAGCTCCCCCTTTTTATGAGGACACCAGTAGTCCTGGGCGAAAGTCCCACCCTGTTCCAGTGTGACTTCATTCTGCCTTTGCTTGTTACCCCTGTGGGGACCCTTTTTCCAAGTACAACCCCATTCCGGGTGCTGGGGGTTTGGAGTTAAACATACAGGTCTGGTGGGAGCAGGAGACACAGCCCAGCTCGTAACAGTCTCTATTAGCAAGTGTATTTCAGGGCTCTCTTCTTTCCCACCAGTGTCACATCTGCATCACACTCGTAATTTTTTTTTTTTGAGTAAAAGTAGGTTTATTCAGAGAGAGGCACACTCTATGGACAGAGTGTGGCATCTCAGAAGGACAGCGAGACCCACACTCTTAATTCGTACAGCTTTGTAGCGAGTCTTTAGGTCTGGTAGTGTGTCCTCAGCTTTGTTCTTCAGGATCGATCGTCCTCATCAACAAGAAAGCCCTGGGCGCTGTGAGGCAGGTCGCAGGCAGAAGCCACACACAACCATGTGTGGCTCAGTGGTTCACTCAGGACAAACACCTGTGTGTCCACAACTGCACCCTGGTTCACCCAGCCAAGAAGTGACAGGCACCCTGACTTCCCAGTAGTCCCTTCCTTGTAGTTTATGGTTGTGTCACAAAGCATACTTCCCTGAGGTGCGTTGTTCAGTCGTGTCTGTTTACAGACATTTCGTGTGTGTGTGTGTGTGTGTGCTTACGTCTCTCCTGTTTTGGAGGCTTGGCCTTTGGTGGTTTTGAGGTCAAATACACGTAACACACAGCTGACCACGCGAAGCATCTGAGTGTGCAGTCAGGGGTGTGGTCTGCATTCATCTCCAGAACCCTTCTGTCTTGCAGAGCTGAAGCCTGGTCGCTGTCACGCACCACTGCCCGTGTTCAAGTCTCCTGAACCAGGTTCTCCTCAGGCTGTCCTCCCACTTGCGTTTATCTGGGGCGAGCCTGGGCGGTCCGACGCGAAGCCCCCGCGGCCGGTGCTGCGGGCTGTGTCCTCAGCGTGCAGGTTGCTGTTTTCTCTTCCAAGTTTCTTGCAGACTGGCAAGAACTTGGATGCAGAGTCAGGATCAGACTCAAGTCCAGTCCCTTTGGCAAGACGGTGGGAGGCACCTTCTCTCTCCTGCGACCTCAGCGCTAACGCTCAGTGCCGGGGGCAAGTCTGGTGCGGGCCAGTTCTGTTTCTTTTTCAAGGATTAAGTGAAGTACCTTGGTAGAGACTCCCTCATCTACCATCCGGCCGGTCGGAAGTGCGGCCCCCGTCAGAAACGCAGGCTCAGTCACTGCCTCTTGTCTTACTTGTCGGTTTCCAGGACGGCAGGCCGGTTCCCCAGCACCGCCTAAAGGTGACCAGGCGCATGAATGCAAACGTGCTTGACGGTTGTCAGTTCAGCGCAGTTATTGGCGTCACTGAAGCTCACACTGTGTCCTTCTGGGGGGTGGGGGTATTTGAGTTCTGAGCCCTGCAGCACGACCTCCGAGCTCTGCGGCTGCTGGAGTTCCGGGCTCGACTTGTGTGTGTCTTGCCCCAGACCTGGAACCAGCCTTTTCTCCAGAGGCCCTAGTTTCCTTTAGTGAGAAGCTGTCTTTCAAGGCAACAACCTGGCACTTGGGGTGCTTGTTCCTTCCAGGGGGTCACCGCTTCGGGGCTTTCTCGGCAGCCTGAGCTGGGAAACGTGTCAGCAGGTAGATGAAGCACCCTGGGCGTTCATGTGGACACTTCCAGCTCGACACACAGACCACCGACCTCTCCCTGCTGCTCTTCTCTCTTGTCGTGTCTCTCTCTTCCCCTGCAGGACCCTGGTTCTCCAGGTTCACAGAGTCACCCCAAACCCGCTGTCTCCTATTACACCAAGACCCACACGAGGGCAATGTTAGTGCCACCACCCCCGGTAGAGTGACTGAGGACACGAGACTGTTTGACACGTGCTTTCCCCATCCTGCCACTGTCCTCACGGCTGAGGCCCTGCCCGTGTGGTCCGAGGCGGCAGCCAGCATGTGTGTCCCTGCCCCTTCTTGGCCCTCGTTTGGTCTCAGGTCTCCAGGTGACCCCTCCCTCCGAGGACCGTGTCTCTGTGCGTCCTGCCGTCTGGCGCTCACTCTCTAGTGGAGCCCCCGGGAGGGCTCCTGGGGGCACGCGTGTCGGCTTCTTCCTTGTTGAGAGTCGTTTATTTGTGGTTTTTATACCTGTCATTCAGTTTTGCTGGTGATAAAATTCTTGGTTCCCATTTCCTTGAGTCTCCAGCGTCGCTCTATTTTCTTCTAGCTGCGGCTGCCAGATTTAACAAAGACAGGCAGGCTGCCCCAAATACTGCACGGAACATTCTCGTACTAGAACATTACTTGCTGCTTCTCCGAAATTTGGATGTAACTGTGCACCACGGATCGACCTGGCAGCCTCTCCTGGGCTAAAGAACTGCTGTCCGGGTCTGATGATGATCTGGTTTTCTACCCCCAACGTGCCACCTGTGAGGTTTTCCCTTTGTTTTCATGTGTTTGCTTCGTTTTTGTTTTCAGATGTCCAGAGGGCTTTTCCGTTTTCTCTGTGAAGTCCAGTATATTTCCAGAAACATCTGGGTGTTGGTCATTCTGGGCCATCCCCATCGGGGCAAGCAGAGCGCCTGCATTTCTCCTGACCACATCGCTGCCCCTGGCCTTGCTCTGGTCACCTCAGGCTGCTCCCCTCAGATCACTCTCCACCGCGCCCTGTGTGGCCAGCTCCTTCTCATCCTTTGGGTCTCAGCGTCAGTGTCCCTAGTTCAGAAGCACCCAGACCATGACCCCCTTTCATACTGAGCACCCGACATCGGTCTGTGTCCTGTCGTTCTTTTCATGACGTCGTTGTGCTTTGTGACAGTCTGAGTTACTTCTGAGGTGTTTTCTGTCTCTTGGGGCAGGGCTGCTCTGTGCCCAGCTAGACCTGAGGGTGAGTGGGAGGCACCTCGTGTGGGACGGAGCCGCCTGCGGAGGGTGGCCGTGGCCTCTGCTCCTCACTCTGCTCCTTCCACATCTGTTTGTGGTTTGGAACCTCGGGGATGTGGAACTGGATGGATGCCACCTTCGGCTGGCTGCCCACCCACATCCTGCACCCCCGCGCCCGAGCTCCCCTGACCTGGTCTGACATCACCCGTCCCCTTTCCTGAGCTGGGCCTCTTTGGCCAGTTTTCTGTAGGGTTGGTTGTAGTCTGTAGTCTTTTCATCTTTTATGGGGCAACATGAGTGCATGCAAAAAAGCTTGGAGCACACGGTGCGTACTGAGAGGAGCCATGTGGGAGGCCCCCAGCCCACCCCCTTGCTCCAGCAGGCCCCCCAAGGCGCCACAGTCGGTGTGTCTCTGCAGGTGGCACAGACAGACCAGCCTGTGCCTTCCTCTGCCTTTTGCTCCCTGGCCCAGCACGGGGTTCTTGGCGCCACTTGAGGTGGCGGCCACAGTGGCTCCCAGTCCAGGCGCAGGTGGGCGGCGGGCACTCGTTCAGATGGGTCTTGCTTGTTCTCCGATGTCTTTCTTCTCCTACTGACTCATCAGGGTTCTCTGAGTATTGAGGACGGTGTCTCCGGTCGTGCGCTGCACTTCTGGCGTGCGCGGAGTGGCCGCTGCTTCCCAGCTCTCGGGCTGTCCTGCTGACAAGCTCGCCAGCCTTCCGGCTGACCTGTCCCCCAGCTCTGCTGCCTGGGGGTCATGGGTCAGTGCCTTGTGAAAGCTGCGGTTTACCGCAGCTGCGTCTGGCACCTGTGTTTGCTCGGCTGCGCTGTGAGCGTCTCCCGCTCTTGTTTTCTGGCCTCGTTACTGGGAGCCTGACCCTCCTTCCCCAGCGGCTGGCACCCTGCTAGCTGAGGGACAGCTGCAGGTGCGGGGACCGTGGGGGCCTCGGGGGGCCGGCTCCAGGCCTGAACTCTGCCGGCGGCTCCGAGACTTCAGCAGACTGTGCAGCTCTGGGCCCTCAGGCCCCTCTGCGAGAGGCGGTCAGGACAACCCCTCCCTGGGGCTGTGGTTGGAATGACAGTGGGCCGCGAGGGCCGCCTGCACTGCCCGCTCCCCGTCTTCATTATTTTTATTAGTCTCCTAACCACTTCTTGATAGTCACTTTTATCCCCGCTTTAAGTATCAGGAAAGGAAGGGTGACATTGCTGATTCTCAAAGTGGGGTCCTTAGACCAGCAGCGCTAGCTCAGCTGGGAACGTGTGGAAAGCGGACACCTGAGCCCACCCAGCCCGGCAGGTTGGGGCCGGGGGAGCTTGACAAGCCTTCTGTGGTTCTGCTGCCCTGGGAGGCACCCTCTGCACCCCCTCGCTGTGACCTGGGTCTTCCTGACTCAGCCCACTCTTCCTGCTGCCCTGAACTGTCAGCCTTCTAGTTTTTTAATTGGTTAAAATAATGTTATTTCCTAAAAAGTCATTTTTCCCCTGGAGAGGAAGGAGTAGGCTATGCTGGTGCCCTCTCGTCCTTTCCCCGTGGCCCTCCCCCCTGTAGTCCTCCCCTGTGGCCCCCGTGATCCTCCCCGGGCCCCCCCGGCCATCTCTGTGGTCCTCCCCCCATGGCCCTCCCCCCGTGGTCCTTGTCCCCTGTGGAAGGCCACATTGAGGCGAGACCCCTGGCAACGTCCTTGGACCTCATGGTGGTGACAGGCTGGCCAGCTTCTGTCTCTGGTGGGGACTGAGCCATCTGTTCGTCTCTTGCAGCTGCTCAGATGGAAGTTAAGAAACCGTTCATTCTATCCTCCATGAGGCTGCCTCTTCTGGACACCAACAACCAGGTAAATCAGTGGGGCCAGCCCCAGCACCACGTGAGCAGCTGTGGGCAGTGTGGCCAGGCTGGGACCTGAACCCACCGCTGGCCAGGCAGCCGCCCCTCAGCCAGACCCAGACCTCAGCAGGTGAGTGCGGGCTTGGGCATCTGCTGAGCCGTGTGTCTGGGACCCCAGCTTCCCCTGAGACAGGCACCCAGGCATGAAGTTAGGAGCCCTCCCCGAGACCGCCTTGGGGCCAGACTGTTCTCTAGAGGAACCCTGGAACTCAAGAGAGCTGTCACACTCAGGGTCAGAGTTTATTACACCAGAAAGATAGGCTGATATCAGCGAAGGAAGAGGCAGATGGGGCAGGGCCCAGGAGGGCCTAAGCTCAGACCCCCGTTGTCCCCTGCCCATGGAGCCGTGGGCAGCATGGGCTCCCTGGCGGGGATGTGACAGCATGCACAGGAGCTGCCAACCAGGAAGCCCCTCGTGTCCGGGGTCCTAATCGGGCCTCTACCCCATAGACCTGGCTGGCCGCCCACCTGGCTGACCTCAGTGTCCAACCCCTCAGGAGGCCAAGCTGATACCACCTGGCCGGCAGCCCACACCCAAGTCACACAGTTAGATGATTTGATGTGGCTGAAGCCCAGGGAAACAAGGACACTGGACTCAGGCGGGCCGTCCAAGGGCTTGTTGTGACGCCGACAGCTGAGGACAGGGCTGGTCCTGCCTGCGCTGGGTTAGCCGGGCCCCGCAGTTAGCCGTTCTGCTTGCCTGAAGGCCGCTGGGTCCCCGTCCCATCCCTGGGGGTTGCCCTGCTCTACACTCGTCCTGGGGAGCCTGTTCTTTGGGACCTTTTGTGAGAGTCTAGAAGCTATTGAAGTGGCCCCAAACCGCCAAGGTCATATCAGTTCCAGGGCCCCTGTACATCTGGATCACCCCTGAAAGGGCCCTCGCCGGGAGCCACCCCAGTGTCAGGGCCACATGCCCTGGCCTGAGCGCCCTCATGCTTCCAGACTGCTCACTCCCTCCAGACCCACCAGGGGCACTTGGGACACACATGTACTTGGGGGACGGCACAGGGCAGGGGTGTTTGGCCTGAGATCCAGAAGAAGAGAGGCGTCAGCAGGACACAGGGAAGGACCCCCCCAGGGAGAGGCCTCTGGCTGGCGCCTGCCCGACAGAGTGTGAGAAGAAGGAGGTCCTGAAGAGGCGTCAGCTCTGCGGAAGAGATGTCCAGCCATGCTGGCTGGCTGCACCTTTGAGCCACCAGCAGGAGCTACTGAATGGGGCCAGATAACAGGCTCAGGCCTCCCAGGAGTGTCTAGGCAACAAGTGCAGATTCAGGGACCTCACCCTGAGGGTGAGATGGAGCCCAGGGTGCTGGCACCCTAAGGGACACTGGCCTGCAGCCCAAGGAGATGGCAAGCACTGGGCAGGAGTGATGCGTTTGGAGCCAGAGAAGCACCAAGTCTGGTGCCTGGGAGGGAAGGGAGGTCCAGGGGGAAAGTGAGGAAAAGAGGCCCCCCTTGAGGATGTGAGCATGTCCCAGGCTGTGTGGCAAGGGTCTGTGAAGAAGGGGAGGGGTTGCAGGCACAGGCATGGACGTAGATGGTGGTGTGAGCGCAGGTGCAGGCGCAGGTGCGGTTCCAGGCACAAATGCAGGCCAAGGGAAGGGTGAGATTCCCATCTCCGAGGTGGAGCACTGTGGCACTGAGGCCGCTCCTGCTCTCCCTTGGTTCTGGGCAGGTGAAGCGGGCCGTGGTGCAGGTGATCAGCGCCATGGCGCACCATGGCTACCTGGAGCAGCCCGGAGGTGAGGCAATGATCGAGTACATCGTGCAGCAGTGCGCGCTGCCCCCCGAGGTGGAGGTAAGGGGCGCTGCCTCGTCCCCCTGTCCCTGGGCCCACGTCTCCCACCTCCATCAGGCCCTGTGTGCCAGGCAGCCTTCCCTAGCCTCTGAGTTGGGGCCTCTGTACCTGTTCGCTTCCTCAGCTCCCCGGACTTAGGAAGGAAAGGCAGACTGGACACTTGGCTCCCTTTGGAGCTTGTCTGTTTGAGAAGTTACTCAGTAAATCCCAGTTTTTCTTGAGGAGAAAGAACCAGTCTGCCCCGGGGGTCTCGGCATCGCCGCTTTGAGCCTGCGGTAGAGCCCAGCAGGTCATGGGCACCCTTCTGCCCCGGGCCTTTGAGCCCAGAGAACTGACCTGTCTGCCAAGGTCAGTGGACAACTGAAGTGGCCCTGCCCAGGGGACCAGGTGCCCTGAGTGGGACTCTGCATTGATGTTGCCCCGGAGTGGGTGGCCGCCCTGGATGAGGGGGTACAGGTGGTGCTTTTCCCACAGGCCTCAGGGGGCCTGGCCTTATCTTTTTATTTTCTTAATAGTGTCTTTCAGAAAGCAGAAGTTTTAATATCCTAGAAATCCAGTTTATAAGGTTTTTACTTACGGACCTGGCTTTTGGTGTCCTAGCCAGTAAATCCACCCTTAGGCCACCAAGACTCGCTCCTGTGTTTTCTTCCGGCCGTGCTGCCATGGATAGAGCATCCAGGACACTGCTGAGGACAAGTGATGAGCACAGACGTCCTTGCCTTGTTCCCATTGCAGGGGGAGCACGCCCCATCTTTAACTGCTAAAGAGTCTTTTGAATCCGAAACTGACATAAACGGTTGCTTTGTGGACCTTGACTGAACCTTGCAGCGCCAGATAAAGCAGACTTGGGCGTGATGTACAGGCCTTTCGCTGTGTTGCTGGTTTCGTTTGCTGGCATTTTGTTGGGCAGTCTTGCATCTCTTCAGGAGGGTTATCGGTCTTTACTTTCCCTGTGATGTCTCTCACTGGTAATGCCTAATTGAGTTTGGACATGTTCCCTCTTCTTCCAATTTCTGGAAGAGTTTGTGAAGGATTTGTATCATTTTTTCCCTTAAATTTTTGGTAGAATTCCTCAGTGGAACCACGTGAGCCTGGAGGTTTCTTTGTTAGAAAGTTTTTAACCATGAATTCCACATTTTTCATAGACAAAGAATTACTACAATTTTCTGAGTAAGCTTTGGCATATCTCTGGGTCCAGGCCCCTCAGACCTCCTACCTGCTTGGTGACTGACTAGCAAGACGTGCAGGACTCAGGTGACTGTGCTCTCCTGGAATGGGCCACACAGAACACGCCCCCACCCACAGCGGGGAAGCCCAGCAGCACAAGGGGGAGGTGCCTGCCCTGGGAAGCCCGTTTGATGTCCTGAGTGCAGTTTTTTTGGGAGGCAGGCCACGTGGGCACTCTGCTAGGCTCAACCACCAAAACTCCCGTCTCCCAACAGGAAGCAGGTGTTCGGTGCCTCAGGTGGCCAGAACAGTCTTATCACTTAGCAGTGTTTCAGAAGCCAAATTCCCTGATGTAAAATGTTTCAGCTGCTATGGAAAACAGTACTGTGGGTCTTCAAAAAACTAGACCTAGAGTTATCGTGTGACCCAGCAATACCACTTCTGAGTACACATCCCAAAGGGTTGAGGGCAGGGTCTCCAAGAGGTATTTGCACGTCCATGCTCATAGCAGCGTTATTCACAATAGCAAAAGGTGGAAGCAGAGTGTCCATCAGCCAAGGAATGGATAAACAAGACGTGGTCTGTCCATACAGTGGAATGTTACTCAGCCTTAGAAAGGAAGGAAACTCTGACGTGTGCTGCAGCATGTGTCAACTTGGACAGGTCACTGATTAAAGGTTTACCTACTCGTTGTAGCATCAGTTGATGACTTCCGAGCTCCAATATGTTTGTACTCACTTCTCTTGCCTTCTGTGGTTGCGAAGCGCTTTCCCCTATTTTTCTGTCCATGTGTGATGTCTCTGTGGACTCATCCGTTGCCATTTCGTGCTTTTCTGTTGCTGGCTTGGTGGCCAGGTTGTCTGAGTTGGCCCCTGTGTCCTTGAGGCGTGTGTCTGCCATTTTTTGAGCCTTTCCTCATTTTCTTGCACAAGAAGCTGTTCTGGATGCACCTTGACCTGTCCCTGCCTCCAGCTCTGTGGGCCCCTTTCAGATGAGCTCTTTTTATCTTCTGTTTCTGAGACATTTGTCTCCTTTATTTATTTAAATTTTCTTGCTTTCCTTTTTTGTTTCTCTCTCACTCCTGTTTTCTGGATGTTAGCACTTCTGTTTTCATCTTTCCTTTTCCTTTCTTTGTTCTCCTTTGAAGTCCTCAATCTGATCTTCCAAGTCAGTAATTCTTTCTTAGCAATAACCATTTCATCATTAATTTCTTGAATCAAATTCTGTATTTCAACTGTTACAAGTTTTCACATTTTTTTTCTTGTTCTTGGTTCATGTTGATATTTTCCCACCTATGGTATGTTTTTCAGGTCAAGGTTGTTTTTGGTCTGTGAAACAGAAACAGAAACAAAGTCCATTTCTGTTTCTAATGGACTTTGTATGTGGCCTCAGTGTTCACTATCAGACAGTTTGTAGTTTCCACTACTAACCCAAAGTTTTTTTTTAGGATTTTAAAATTTTCTAGGTGATTAGCTTTTCATGACTACTGTGGATTTATAATTTCATTGCATTCTCTACACTGAATCTGGCCAGGTTTAGTTCTCCTTTTGAGAGTTTGTTGAGATATTCTTTTTGGCCTAATAAATGGTCAGGCTTTCAAAGTTGTTTGTGTATATTTGGTAAAAAGTTTTGTCTATATTTTTAGAGCAAGCTTTAAAAATTGTTATTCAAGGGCAGGCGGTATAGGCATGCATGAGGTCCTGGCCTCAATCCCTAGTATCTCCATTAAAAAAAATGTATGTATACAGGTAGGGGTATATGTGTGTGTGTGTGTGTGTGTGTGTGTGTAATTGTAATTGTTATTCAAGGCCTGAATACCCTTATTTTCTCTACTTGATCTTTGATTTCTAAGTGAGAGGCATTAAAAGTCTCCTGTAATCATTGCAGTTTTCCCAGTTTCTCTCTGTTGTCCAGTGTTTGCTTTCTGGGATTTCAAAGCATGAACTGAAGTCTCAGACAAAGCACTTAGAAAAGAGAAGCCCTTTTCTGCATGGAAGGTTCCCAGTGAGCCGGGCTTTGGGGTGCTGACTCCCCAGGTTTGGAGGAAACCATAGGCCCACCAGGCTGTGGAGGTTTTCCTGTGTCCTTGTCTGTTTTCTTGGTGCGCAAGGGTCCCTTCATTTTGGAGAGTAGGACTAAGCCTGCGAGCTGGCTTCCTTGGGCGATTTTAGGGCGTAGTGAGTTTCCTGCCCATGACAGGTGGCCCTGGTGTCCCTTCGGTGGGGGCTGGGTGGGGTCTGTCGCGCTGTGTCTTCATGGCCAGAGCCCCTGGGAACAGAGAGCGGCTGGGGCCACGGTGCCCACACACTCCTCATGGCCCTCCCCACAGCCTCAAAAGCCTGGCCCCGACGGCGAGGACCTCCCGGCCAACAGCGTGCGGACCATCAGCATCAGCACCCTCTACCTGGTCAGCACCACCGTGGACAGGATGAGCCACGTGAGTTGTGCCGCCCCGCCTGACCACGCCCCTCCCCACTCCACGGGGGGCCTGGACCTGTCACCCGCAGACACCCCGGCGCTCTGCCCCCAGGTCCTCTGGCCATACCTGCTCGAGTTCCTGGTCCCTGTGCGCTTCACCGGGGCGCTGACCCCGCTCTGCAGGAGCCTCGTGCACCTGGCCCAGAAGAGGCAGGAGGCAGGGACTGACACCTTCCTCATCCAGCACAGTGACAACGGTGTGCCCTGACCCCACCTCGCTCTGGCTCCCACCCCTCCCACTCTGCCCTGACCCCAGGCCACAGCCAGGGCCCCTGAGTGTTTGCCCATCTCCTTTGCAGTGACCCTTCCGTCTCCCTATGCCCTGACCACGAGGCTTCTGGTAAGCAGCGCCCTTGGGTGTTTGGCTTTCATAGCACATGGGTGGCATCACCTCCCCTGATCAGGTGGCCACCTGGCGGGCGCCACACCCTGAGGGGGTGTCACGGGAGGAGCAGGCCCTCCCTCTGTCCCCGTGTCCTTGTACTTGTGCTGTCACTACCGTGCAAAGGACACTGTCTTGCAGTAGGGGGCTGTCAGGCGCTCCCACTGGGGTTTTGGGGAGCTGCATCTCAGGAGGCTCCTTACCCCTTCTTGGGTGGCTGTGCTCGACCTCCTGTTGGCCGTCGTGGCTCTGGGCACGGGTGGAGAACCCACTTCTGCCTCCTCCAGGCTGTGTCTTCCAACCCCTACCTGGGAGATGGTCGCGGGGCAGCCTCGCTGCGCCTCCTGAGCGTCCTGCATCGGAATATCCACCCTCTGCTGGGTCCACGGTGGGCGACAACCATCCCCCTGCTGCTGGCACACCTGGATGGTGAGGCCCAGGAGGTGGGCGGCGCTGCTCCTCCTCCAACCCTATTTTTGGCAGTCAGCATCAAGGCTGTCCCGTGAGGACCAGGGTTTTGAAATGGCCTCTGCTGTGGTTCAGGAAAAGGCCAGAGTGGTGGGGCTGGAAGGATACTGGCTGCTGGGTGTCACCTGGGAGCACATTGGATGTGGGCACAGCCCTGTGCTTCCTTGTGTTCTGGTGGATGGGGCGATGCCTAGGCCCGGTGGGGGTGCTGGGTGGGGCCTGGTGGGAGGTACTGGCTGGGGCCTGAGCCTGCTGGGAATGGGGGATGCTCCGAGCATCCATTCCTGCCTGTTGGGATGGGTCTGCCTGCCAGGCTGAGTGGATGCCTGGTCGTTTCAGGACATACTGAGAAAACACTGTCACAGAAAGAATGGGAAGAGAAGCTGCTGATGGTGAGAGAAGGCAGTGCAGGCTGTGCCAGGCACGGGGGCCTTGTCTGGCCTGGGTGGGGGGCGCTTGGGGCAGCAGTGGGGCTGTTCCTTTCCAGGGTCGTGATGCCTGCCTTGACCTAGAGATGTGGCCGGGGGAGGTGCAGAGGGACAGGTGGGTGTCTTTGGGGTGGGACTGGCTGCTGCCCTCACAGATTGTCCACTCTGCTGTGACAGGGTCAAATTTCAGGGGTTTGAGCTGCCCTGGCCGAGAGCACCTTCTCTCCTGTCCCCTGCCCGGCTCTGAACTGTCTGTGCTCCTGGTGTCTGACTACCCAGAATTTGTTTTGTCTGGGCTTGAAAGTTACCCATAAACTATTCAGAGTCATGGCACAGGACTGGGAGGTCACTGCATGTGACACTCTGGGCCTTGGGTCCCTCCCCAGCCAGTCCAGTGAAAGGCAGAGCTCCTGGCCCCTCACTGGTATGGCTCCTGCCCCCAGTTCCTTCAGGACACTCTGGCCGTTGTGTCTGACAACACGTGGATTTGCCAGCTGAGCCTGGAGATGTGCAAGCAGCTACCCAGCTACAATGGGATGCCCCAGGAGAAGGTGTGGGGGAGAGGCCACCCAGGAAGGTGTAGGGGAGGGGGCTGCCCAGGAAGGTGTGGGGGGATAACCTGCCAGGGGGTTTGGGCATAGTCCTCAGGCTCCGAGTTCCTGCTCCTTGACTGTGTCACTTCTGTCACCCTGCACCTGGCTCTGGTGGCCCTCGTGGTCTTGGCAGAGCAGGAGGAGAAGGCCCGTGAGCCTCCTCATAGTGACTGATGGCTGGAGATGCCGGAGCTTGCACTCCTCAGCCCCTGCCCAGAATTCACGTTGTCCTTGCAGTGGTCAGTGTCACGGGTTCCCAGTGGTCCCTCTCCCACGTCCAGCTGGCAGCGCAGACACCGCTGGGTGGTGTCTTGGTACGGCTGGGCGTCCCACTGCTGGGGAGCCAGGCACAGCACGTTCTCTGGCCTTGTTGCAGAACTTCCTGTATAAATGCATCGGAGCCACCCTGGGTGCTGCTTCCAGTAAAGAGGTGGTGAGAAAACGTCTGCAGGAGCTGCTGGAGACGGCCCGGTACCAGGAGGAGGGCGAGCGTGAGGTGGCTGTCATCGTCCCCACAGGAGCCCCGATGCCCGCAGGCTGGCAGACAGTGGCCACCCTCTGTCCTCTCTCAGGCTTTTAGCCAGCGTGTGCACGTGTGTGTGTGTGTGCGTGCGTGCGTGCGTGATGCACCTGCATGGTGTGCGCCTGCCTGTGTGCTCGTCCCCGTCCTTGCCCAGCTGTGAGCCCACCTGTGTGCCTCCCCAGGGCCTTGCCTGTTGCTTTGGGATCTGTGCTGTCTCCCACCTGGACGACACCCTGGCCCAGCTAGAGGACTTTGTAAAGTCGGATATGTTCAGAAAATCTGTTGGCATTTTCAACATTTTTAAGGTACAGAGGTCAGGCTGATGGCTGAAGCGGGAGGTCTGGGGTGTGATTTCGTCTTAGCCGTGGCCCCCACATTTTGAGGTCCTTGGTGGGTTGGGGGTCATCCTGGGCCTTCCTGGGCTTGGTGCCTGGTAGCCTGGGGGTGGGGCAGGGAGCTGGCATCCGGCCTCTGTTAACTCGTTGGTGAGGCTGGGATGCATGGGATCCCTCCCAGCTGGCGACAGGGGTTTGCAGCCCTCTGCCAGCTGTGAGGGGCTCTGGGTGGCAAGGATGGGCGTGGTCCCCTTCCTGTCCCCACCCCCCACTCCACCCAGGTCTGGGCGTCCTCTGCCCCCTGGTGGCCAGGGGAGGCTGCATTCTTGCTGAAGCCTGATTTGGGAGGGTGGGCCCCCACAGCCCACCTCCACCCCAGCCCACGTCCCTCGGTAGAACTGTGTCTCCCCATGCTGGTCCCAGTTACACAGTCTTGGGGCTGCGTGGTGTGAAGAGGCCCCAAGGTTGGATGGGTTCCTGGGCAGCCACCTGAGCAAGGCTGGGACCCTGCCTCCCGACCCCCCAGCTCCTTCTGTTTGTCCCCCACCCTGGTCCCCAGTGGGCTTGAGCCTGGCCGGCAGGACGGACCTGACCCACTGTTCCCGACAGAAGGACTCTGGTCGGGTGGCGCCTTTCAGGCTACTGGCTCTGCCCTTCTTCCGGAGGACATGGGGTTCGAGAGCCGGGCTCCCGCTGGGGGAGTGTGTGTAATGGAAGTTGTGCCGATTCCCCTGGCCTCTCAGGATCGGAGTGAGAATGAGGCAGAGAAGGTGAAGAGTGCGTTGATCCTGTGTTACGGGCACGTGGCGGCACGGGCCCCCCGTGAGCTGGTGCTAGCCAAGGCGGAATCGGACATCTTCCGGAACATGTCCCAGTGCTTCAGCACCAAGGTGGGCGCCTCGGCCGGGTCCACAGACAGGGACGGAAGGAGGGGTGCTGCCACCAGAGCCCCACGTCTTAACTCATCTCACTTTTGTTGTTCAGGTTCTGGGAATAAAGGTAGAGACCAAGGTACAGTGTGTAGGAGTTAAGTGTGAGCTCTGCCTTTCCTCTGTCCTCTGGGCTGGGCTGTGAGCTTCTGGGGCAGCAGCCGGGGGTGCTCACTGGGGTTTCCTGGGCCCAGTCCGTGGGCAGAGCATTCGGGAACATCACTCCTGTAGTCTGTGCCTACTACCTAGGAGCAGCCCCTCCTCGTGGGGCCAGAGTGGGGGCCCTGGAGCTCCTGCTCTGACCCAGGCCCTGGACGGAGGGCGGGAAGGGACGGGGAGGTGACAGGCTTGCAGGCTAGGGGTGGGGAGCCTCGGCCTCGGCCCCTCCTCTGGCTCCACTCTGATGCTCACGGGCTGCCCCACAGCAAGCACCTGGGAGAGGGGCGAGTTCGAAAGCTTGTGACAGTAGCCTCTGGTCTCACTAATGTATTTCCCTCTGGACTCTCTGGCACTAACCTGGAGGCCTTCTCTGGGAGTGGCCGGGTTTTCCCCTTAAAGAGCAGACCCTCCTGGGTCTCCTGGGTTGGCTGGGCGGTGGGGATGTCTCATCTGTCTTCCGCACTGAGCCCATGAGAGGGAGCCCAGCCCTCCATGTCCCCAGACAGGCCACAGCAGCCCCACTCTGCTGGGGCTCTTCTTGGGCATGCCTCCTTCTCCTCCACCTGGGGGGACACCTCCAGCCACACCACAGGCTGCAGGGGATGCAGGTGGATAGAGCGTGGTGTCGGCCTGCAGTCATCTGGCCGGGCCCGTGACCTGGGGACCCCTGGGCCCAGGCCAGGCAGACAGCTAATGGCCACAGGGGTTCCCTCCCAGATGCCCCTTGGCCCATGTGGCTTTGACAAGAGCTTGAGGAGGACCAGCTGAGGCCCTGTGAGAATGGAGGGGAGTACGTTTCTGGCTTTGGAGGGGAAGGCAGGGCCTGTGGCCAGGCCTTGCTGCCATAGGCAGCGACCCTTTCTGGGCTCAGCCCCGTGGGCCGAGAGGGAGTGACTGCTACCTCAGGGCAGAGCCACGTTGGGCAGAGGGCCTTGGAGGCCTCCTGCAGCCCAGTGTCCCTCCAGGACCCGGCCCTGAAGCTGTGCCTCGTGCAGAGTGTGTGCATGGCCAGCCAGGCCATCTGCAGCAGCACCCAGGGCAGCTCCTTCCACTTCTCCAGGAAGGCGGAGCTGGTGGCGCAGATGATGGTGAGCGCCAGGCAGGGCCTGGCTGGGTCCCAGGAGGGCTGGACCACCCATGTGGGTTGAGGGACAGAGGCGGCCCAAGCCAGCGCCTGAGTGGCAGGCAGGCTGTGCTCTGGCCAAGGGCTGTCACGTGGCTGCTTCCCTAGGAGTTCATCAAGGCGGAGCCCCCAGACTCCCTGAGAACACCCATTAGGAAGAAGGCCATGCTCGCCTGCACTCACCTGGTGTATCCTTTCCTCCGGGCACGCGGGGCCACCTGTGGGGCCATCCATGTGCGCCTGGTGTGGGCTGAGCCCTTAACTCAGGCTCAGCTCCCTGAAGCCGGCGCTGGAAGAGCAGATGCAGGCGGACCTGGTCCACAGCTGTCTACACAGCGTCCTGGCTGTGCTGCCCGAGCCCGAGGGGGAGGATGGCCACCAGGAGGTATCAAGCATGTCCCTGCCTTGTGCCCTGTGGGGGCAGCAGGGAGGCCGTGGGGGTGGCGGGGTCACAGCAGGACTGGAGGCCTCTCTCGTTGCAGTCCCTGTACCTGGACACCATGCAGGCCCTTGAGGACTTGCTGACAAGCCTCCTTCAGCAGAACATGACCCCCCAGGGCCTACAGGTCATGGTAGAGGTGTGCAGCGGGTGTGCCCTGCCCTGGGGGACACTGTGGGGACAGTTTGGTGCTCTCTGCAAGTGGTGGGTGGTCTGTGAGCAGGCAGGCGTCACCCCCTCTTGTCTGGGCAGGTATGCGACAGGGGCAGACCTTGACCAGACGGGGCCCGGAGCCTGTCCTCATGTCCCTACCATTGGTCAGTGCTGGGACGGAAGGTGCCCCAGATGTGAGCTCCAGCCCTTCTGGGGCCACTGAGGTGGCAGAATGGGTGGGCAGTGGCCTGGGGTAGGACTTTTCCCCTTCTTGGAACACCTTGTTCCTCTGTAGGCCCAGCTCGCTCTGGGTGCACATGGGGTGGCCGTGGCCATGGCCGTGAGCCAGGCCAGCAGGATAGAGATGGGGCAGGGGTGCACTATGCAGGTGGCTTGCTCTCACCTGGCCCGCTGGCCCCCACACCCAAAAGGGTGGCCCGGCAGGGATGCTGACCTGCCCACAGTATGTAGGCTCCAGTGTCCCGTGCTGAGTCCGAGCTGGCGCCTGTGTGAAGCCCCCTCTTCCCCAGCACCTAAGCCCATGGATCAAGTCCCCGCGGGGCCACGAGCGGGGACGGGCCCTTGGCCTGAGCGCCTGCCTGCTGCGCTACTTCCTGGAGCACTTGCACGTCAGTGTAAGTACCCAGGAGGCAACCCACACAGCTGCTCCCCTGCCCTGGCCCATTCCTGTCCCTTGGCTTGGGGACCACTGCGTGCAGCCCTCACATCTCCGAGTGCCCCAGGCTTTCTGGCCTTCCTCCAGCTGCTGCCCTGGGCCCATCCTGCAGCCCCACCAGTCCCACGGTCCTCTATCTCAGGCCGTGGGTAGAGGACCTGTCAGGGCCAGAATTGTCCTCAGGAGCCCACTCCTTAGCTAGGGCTAACATGTGATGTGGTTCCCAAATGAGCAAAAGAATGATGGGTACCCCGGTGTGAAGGGAGAAAATGAGGGCATTCGAGGCAGAAGCAGCATTTCAAGCAAAGGCAGGGGGACCTGAACCCATGGGATGTTGTGGAAAAGGCAAACACTGTTTGGCTGTCAGAGTGGATGGGAAGGGGCTTGGTCCAAGAATCACACGGTTATTGTGTGTTTTGGTGTTTGCTAAGGTCAAGTAGCTCCTGATCCTTCTTTTCCAGAACTGCGCAGTTGTTCTTGTAAGGCCGTCAGTCAGGCGGATTTAGGGTGGACTGCACGCAGTGCTCACACGGTCGTGGCGCGGCTTGGATGGGGCGCGGGCCTGATGGGTTCTGCTGCTGAGCAGTAGCATGTTTGAATGTTCGGTCTCTCCATCCAGACCCCTCTGGCCCCTCAGGAGCACGTCCTGCTTGAAGTTTTGTTGCTGTTGTCAGTGTGATTTTTTTCTCCGATTGCATTTAAAATTGCTTATTACTGCTAGGCAGAAAACTGGATTTTTGGATACTTAGAAACTGGGTAGTTTGTAAGATTTCCTTGTTATTTCTAATAAATTTTTAATCAGGCCTCTGTAATCTTCAGATTACAGCCACTGCAGTTTACAAATCCTGAGAATTTTGCCTTCCTCCCCAGTGCTCGCATGTGTCAGTCCGCGCAGTCTTCCGGGCCGCTGCGGCCTCCCTCCTAAGTGCAGTGCTGGGTTTGGCTGGCAGCACTTACTTTCCTATCCATTCCAGAAGCACCGGTCTGTTTATTTTAATGAGGGCTTTTATCACGGACAGACAGAGAGCTGCCGTGGTCAGACACCTTCCTCTTGTCTGTTAGGACGCTCTAGATTTCTTCTCCTGTTGGTTTTCATACGTCCACACTTCTGCCTTGTGTGGCCGGATCTGCGGGCCTCGTGATGTCCTCAGCCTCCATGCACGTGTAGACGGGCTTTTCCCACCCAGGTTCTCTCGTGGCCTGGTTTTCATGTAACCCTAGTCCAACTCGAGTTCATTTTTGTTCATGATAAGAGAGGCAGCCAACCTCACTAAGAGGAGCAGCAGCTGGTGATCTTCACCCGGCGCTCCAACGTCCCTCCTCCTGGAAACCCCTGTGGTGACCTGGGGAGAGCAGCAGCCTGGGAGCCCTGCACTTTCTTCAGGAGCCTGTGCTGGGCAGTGGGGGCTGCAGGCGCCTCCCAAGGAAGCCTCCTGGTGGCAGTGCGGTGGGGGCAGGAAGGCCGAGGGGCGTGTGTTGTGGGGGTAACGGATGTCCCCAGGCCTGGAGTGTAGGAAGCAAGGCCAGTTGCCGAGAGCAGGGTGGGGAAGGTTCTGGGGAGAGCAGAAACGGCTCTAAAGACAGGGCCAGGACCCAGGCAGGACAGAAGGGATTCGGTGCAGCACCCCCCGACCTGGCAGGGGATTTGCTTTTAGGGAAGGGACCCCTCCATGTGCGTCAGCTGAACCAGCAGAGCCCAACCGTCCCCGGGCCTGCACATACCAACTTGCCCAGCCCTCTTCTCCTCTTAGGGACCCACACTTGTGGGGTGAGGGTTGACCTCCAGGGGAGGAGCTGGACGCGGGCCATGCTGGCCAAAGGGATGGACAGGGGCTGCCCTCCTGGTCACACCCCTGCCCACATCTGGGTTCAAGAGGTACAGGTGGTACCTGCCCACCCAAGTGTCCCCAGCACCCCTCCCTGGCAATCCCTCCAGTGTCCCTGCAGCACCTCCCAAATCTGCCTCTCCAGGCTCTGGTGCCCTTCCACAACCTGGGCCTCCTCGTTGGCCTCTTCTCCCCACGGTGTGCGGACCTGTGGCCTGCCACCCGCCAGGAGGCCATCAACTGCGTCTACTCCCTCCTCTACCTCCAGCTGGGCTACGAGGGTGAGCCCCTGGCGGGGCAGAGGGGCCTGGGGGTTGAGGGAGCAGAGTCTGGGCCCCTCTCCACGCTCCCTCCTGACTCTGCAGGCTTCTCCCGGGACTACCGGGACGACGTGGCTGAGCGGCTCCTCACCCTCCAAAGTGGCCTCGTGCACCCTGACCCTGCCATCCTCTTCCACACCTGCCACAGCGTGGCCCAGGTACCTGCCGGGCCTCCACTGAGGGGAGGGACCCCGGGCCACCTCCTCGCACCTCAAGTGCTCCGTGGGCACGAGCATGGGCAGGTCTTATTCGGAGAGCTAGCTGTCTAGCACCGCCTCCATCACCCTGCTGGACTCCCGGGGGTTCACCCTAAAGGCACAGCAAGAGGGTGCAGTCAGGACCCAGGACTGGGCTCCTGGTGCCAGCGGGCGGAGAAGGCTGCCCCTAGCCCACCCTGTTAGCCCCGAGCCAGGGCAGTGCTCTTATTCCATTCGGGGTTTGAAAACAGCCCCCAGGGGTCCACAGGCTTTCTTTCCTGCAGAGGAAAGAAGGGAAGGGGGTCCACAAGGCCTCTGGGAGGGTGGACTCAGCCATTGGGAAGCAGAGACCCAGCCCTGTCCAGGCGGAGCGAGAACTTCATGTCTGGGATCAGACTTCCTGGATAGTCAACCACTTTAATGCTTTTATTTCTTCTGTGTGTGTAGGGTAGCACTTTCCCTTTATCTGCTTTGGCTCCTGGTTGCTCTCTGTTATGTGAAGGGAGTGGCAGGGGCTCTTGTCTCTGCTGGGCTGGGGGGTCCCTGCGGGTCCGGGGCGGGACATGCTCCTAGATGCCTTCGACTCTATGCTAGAGTTTTAGAGTGGCAGCATCACCCCAGCCCACCCCACTGGTCAGCGGGAGCCTTAGGGAGGGCAGTCTGTCCTGGGCCCCCAAGCTGCCCAGGGACCACTTCCAAGCAGCCTGGGCCTGGAAGCCCTGAGGCTGCATCCTGGACCTGACCAGGCTTCATCCTGGGATGGGGGGGCTCCTATGCAGGAGCTCCTGAAGGCTTGCAGAGCCTGCAAGGGGATAGGAAGCTTGGGCCCCCCAGGATGTTGTGCCTGGAAGGGACACGGACCCCTGTCCTGCCAGTCTTTCTGACACAACTGTCCTCCTAGATTATTGCCAAGCGCCTCCCGCCAGATCAACTCATCAGCCTCTTGCTAACCTTGTTTGAGGGCCTGGGAGACTCCGACAAGAACTGCTCCCGGGCCTCCACGGTCATGATCAACTGCCTGCTGAAGGAGCGGGGCAACATGCTCCTGGAGAAGGTGTGGCCAGGCTGCGCGACGGCACGCTGTGGGCGGGGCCTGACAGGAGCGTGGAGGGAGGGGCTGGGGCGTGGCGTGGGCGTGGTTATATCAGACTGGCCCAGAGTGGGTGGGCGGGGCTGGATACATGGGGGCTTAACATCCAACTCGACTCCCACCGCTCCCAGGCACAAGACCCCCGCCTGGTTGGGGTTTGGCCCTCGATGCCCTGTCCCTTGTCCCTGCGGGCCTGATTTGGACAGCTCTTCCTCTCCTGTTTGAAGACAGAATTTGGCGAAAGTAACTGCTAAGAAAGTGAAGGAGGAAAAGGCAACTGAAAAAAACGCCGGTGCTGAGGTCTGTCAGTCGCTGGTGAGGACGCAGGTCCAGAGGGTCACCACGGAGGGCCCCACAGTGGGCCTGGTCCCGAGTGGCCGTGTCCAGGATGTTCGGGTGCTGCCCGCCCTCACCCCGTCACCTGAGTCCCTCTGGCTGTGAGCTCATGTGGCTGCCCACATGTTCCCAAAGTGGCCCGGGCAGCCACTGTGTCAGATGTGCTCAGGTCCTCGTAGGTCTGGACGTGAATCCTGGCGACCCAGTTAGCCCAGGGTCCCTGTGTGCCTGGAGGGAGATATACGCTCCCTGTTAAAGTGAGGCATACCTGCAGAAAAGGGGGTTTGTCCTAAGTACACGGCCTTGGGGGTTCCCACAGACGTGGGTTCCCACAGACGTGCAGGAGCTGAATCACCAACTCCAGAGCCCCTCGTACCCCCAGCTGACCCCCCCCCACAGGGTGCCAGCACCCCTGAAGTACAGAGTGTGGCCTGGGATGTACCTTACGGGGAAGATGCCCTCATGTCTGGCCCCGCACGGCAGTAGCCTGTGAGACCACATGCATTTCCTGGGCCTGGCCCAAACGTCCCTCTGTCTCCATACGCATCACTCCTTCGTGTGTCACGCTCACTCGCTCGCCTGCTTCAGTGACCTTGGGCAGTTCCTTATCTGCACTGTCTTGAAGATGATGCCAGAGTCCAGCTCCTCTGGACCTGACAGGCATTTTGGTTGGAGACACAGCCAGGAGAGAGCCTGGGGCCTGTGGGAGAAGCCACTGTGCAGCTGTCCCAGGGCTGCCAGATGGCGTTCCAGACGGGACAGTTCTCCCACTGGCCCCACGTGAGGCTCTGGCAAGCCACGTCCCTGCCAACACCGTTTCTGTCCTTTCTAATGGGTGTGGGGCAGCTTCACGTTAGAGCTCTGTTTGCCTTTCTCTGGTGGCTTAGGAAGTGGAACACTTTTGCACCTTTCCTAGCTACTCAGACATCCTCTTCTGTGCAGACACCAGCCTTGCCCATTTTTCTTCTGTGCTGGCTTGTCTGTGCTTTTTTATTGGTTTGTGGAAGCACTTTTTTGTGAATATTGTGAATACAGTTCTGTAGTGGGTGTATATAGTGCAAATATTTTCTCGGCGAGGGGTGAGCAGGAGTTGCCGATGGAGAGGAGGGGAGAGCTTGGGAGGGAGAGCCATGTGCTGATGCAGCCGTGTGTGGTGTGGCACCTGGAGAGGAGGGTGTGCCTCTCGGGGCCCTCAGCCCGGGGCTGAGGGTGTGGGGGTGTCAGGCCAGTCGGACCTGGGAGTGGAAGGGGGTTGGGAAAGGAGGACGGGGAAGAGGGCACAGCTGTGATGGATAGTCAGGGTTTGATGGGTGAAGGTTTGGATTTTATTTTGCACTCAGTGGGGCTCCCAGTTCGGATCAGAATGGTGGGAAGGTGCCCTGGTGGCTCTGTGCGGGTGGAAGGGGACGGGCCAAGCTGCAAGGGTGGCCACCGGTGGTCCCGGTGTATGTGTGTATACACTGCGTCTTCTTTACTCTCTCATCTGTCCCTGGACACTTGTGCTGCTTCCGCCTCTTAGCTACTGTGGATGATGCTGCCGGGAACATGGCTGGATGCATATCTCCTTTAGATCCTGGCTTCTTCTGGGTAAATACCCGAAAGTGGAATTGCAGGATCACATGGCGGTTCTAGGTTGAGGTTTATGAGGACCCGCTACACGGCTTTCCATAGTGGCTGCCCAAACTGCATCTCCATGAACGGGGCTCAAGGGCTCCGTTTCTGCGCGTCCTCGCCAGCTCTTGCTGCTGCCTGCTTTTCTGATAGTAGCGGTCCTGAGGGCTGTGAGGCGGTCTCTCATGTTGGTTTCGACTTGTGTTTCCCCTGGAATTAGTGACGCCGAGCATCTTCCATATATAGTCAGCCATTTGTACGTCTTCTTTGGAGGAATGTCTGTTAATGTCCTTTGCCTGTTGTAAAATCAGGTTATTTCATTTTTTTGCTGTTGTTGAATTGTAGAAGTTCTTATATATTCTGGGTGTGACCACGTTATCAGATTTATGATTAGCAAATATTTTTTCCCATTCTGTAGGCTGCCTTTTCTGTCTTGATTGTGTCCTCTAATGCATAAAAGGTTTTAAAGTTTGATATAGTCCCATATGTCTGGGTTTTTTGAGGGGGAGGTAATTAGGTTTATTTACTTTCTTATTTATTTAATTGAGGTACTGGGGACTGAACCCAGGACCTTGTGCATGCTAAGCACGTGCTGTACCTCTGAGCGCCACCCTCCCCCCATGTCTGTTTCTGCTGCTTGTTTCTTGTGCTTTGGGTGTCACATCCGAGAAATCACTGCCAAGTCTAATGTCCTGAGGATTTTCCCCTGTTTTCTTCTAGGAGTTTCCTAATACTTTTGAGTCCCACCCACCCATTCTTGGTAAATCCAGGTGCCTCTCCCTGGGCCCAGCATCCTGAGGTGGATGCTGGCCTCTTGGAGCTGTGGGTCTTCTCCAGATCCACTCACAGACACTCTCAGCACCCCACTTAGGGGTGCTGTCCCTGAGCCTCACCTGGCGCCTGCCTGCAGCTCTCAAGTGACCTGGACGCTGGCATCCGGCCCCATGGGGGTCATGGCGGGCCACCGTTTTCTCTCCTGTCCTGAGAGGCTCTGGCAGCCAGCCTGTTGAGACACCTGGCCACTGTTGGACTTTGAATTCCTCTGAGATCAAATCAGAGAGGGGGTCCTAGCAGGTGAGCTGTTACTGGACTGAGCCCCCTCCCCAGCACGCCGTGGTTGTAGAGGACAACGGTCTGGCAAGACCGTCCCTCCCAGGTTGGGAGGCAGGAGGAGCGTGCAGGGGACGTGCAGGGGAACAGGAAAGGATAGACCGAAACAGACAGGTGGGAGTGGAAAATGGAGCCACCGCCGTAGAGCCATCCTGACAGAGGCTAAAAGTCGCCACACGACCCGCAGTTCTGCTCCTGGTAGCCAAGGGGGTCGGCACCATGCCTCCAAACCCTGAACGTGCACGCGCCTGGCAGCCCCGCAGTAGAAACAACCCCAAGCCCATCAGTGAATGGGTCAGTAAACAGTGAACACGGTCTGTCTGTCCAGTGAGACCCGCCTCCATTTGGCGGCAAAAGGGAGTGACGTACTTGCACCGGCCACAACCAGGAGGGGCCCTGAAATCATTCGGCAAATTGAAAAAGACTAGCTCTGTCTCGGTTCAGAAGGAACACAGAGTCAGGCTGCTTCCGGGCACTTTGAAAGGGACGCACGGAGGCCAACACGACACAGCAGAAAGGGGAGAAGCCATTGAAGCAATTAGGAAGAGCCTCGGAAAGATGTGTCTTAGGAAAAGAACCAATGCCAGAAAAAGCAAAAATGCAAAGTGAAGAAGAGGGGAAGTACACACACAAGAGGTTTGAAATACTGTGAGGCACGTCTATGAGCAGCTGTGCCCCAAGCACTGGACGCCCTCTGGTAAAAGGATGGGTCCCTGAGGATGTTGCTCCCACCCACATCAGTGCAGTGGGAAGTCACAAAGGTGACCAAGCCCCCTGGCCCTCAGCCAGGAGAGTGGAGGAGAGCCAGGCGCCCCCCTCCCAGGAGACAGTCTGTCCAATTTCAGTGGTGACCGTGGGTGGAATGTCCTGGCCCATCTGTCTGTGGACATCCCTGCTCTTGAGTGTGACGAGCAAGACCCACTCAGCCACTGCCAAGCGTGCTGGTTCAGCACCACCTCCCGCCAGCGCCCCCTGAGTGGGAACAGGCCTGCGCAGCTGCCTGGAGACTCCGACTGAGGCTGGGGTCCTCCCTCCCAGCCCAGCTCCGCCTCAGCCTGGGCACAGTGCCCCTCCCTGTCCCCACCCAGCACACTGCTCCCCTCCATGCTCACCAGGCAGAGGTGGGGCGGGCGCTGTGGGCCTCTAGTGGCCAGAGGCTGGGTCACCCTGGAAGCCTCAGTGCTCATGCCAGTGGCCTTCCCTCCTGGCTCTGCTCTGCACAAGCCCCTCCTCCCAGCAGGTCCCTCCTGGGCTCCTGTCACTTGCCACGTGGGTCTGGGCCTGTGTCCCAGCACCAAGATCCCAGGGCTCTGGCTCCAGCTCTGCTCTCAGGGACCACCCTCCCCCCCCAGGCCCCCTGCACCCTGGCCATGTGAGGTTGGCTCCTGGCATGGGTGAGTGCACTGCAGGCCTGACCACCCAGCCCGTCACCTGCAGGTGCCCGAGATCATGAGCGTGCTGCGCTCCAAGCTGCAGGAGACCCGGGAGGAGCACGTCCTGCAGGCCGCGCAGCACAGTGTGTACCTTCTGGCGAGCCAGCACCGCGCCGCCGTTGTGTCCAGCCTCCTGGGCAGCCCCCTGCCCTTTGACAGGTACCCAGTGCCCACCAGCCTGCTGGGGTGGACGGGGGTCCCTCCTGCCCAGCGTGGTGCTCTTGTGCCCCCAGCCCCCACCCGTCCCTGCGTCCCAGCTCCTCTGCATAGAGCCTACGGGCCCCAGTTGGGGTGGTTGTGCCTGCCTTGTCTGTGGGCCCGAGGCTGCTCCCATGGCCCTGGGTTTCAGTGGGCACCCTTGGCTCGCTCCTGGCTCTGCTGACCAGTGCTCCAGCTGGTTTTCTTCAGGGCGTCCACCACCACCTGTGAGCAGAACCCTGGGGCCAGGCCCCCCTTCCAATCAGAAAGGGTCCCCATCCTGCACTCCCAGCTCTGAGCTTGCCGACCTCAGTTCCAAATGGCAGGACTTCGTCCCCTGGGGCTTCTGCACCAAAGCCTCCAGGTGGCCACTGCCTGCTGTTCCTGCCTTTCTCTGCTGTCCATGTCGTGGGTGGAGGCTGGCATGCTGGGGAGGCGAGGTGGCACGTCACTTCACTGCAGCTCTGGCCCCGGTGGCCCCGACGTGCCTGCTCTTGCTGTCAAGACATGGGCTCGTGCTGCAGGCTTTCCTCTCGCTTAGATGCTGGGCGCCACTCAGGGCCCTGGGTTCACTGTCCACACCCTCCTCTCCAGGGACCCTCTGTGCCAAGTGCACGGAGAGCGTTTGCCTGGGGTCTTCCCCGCCGCCCGTCGCTGTCAGTCTTTCCTTGCCCTGGCACCGCGGACGCGCTCCTCGGTGGTGACTTCTGCGTCCTACAGCGTTGCTGGTCGGCTTAAACCCGCTGTGGTGCTTTGTGTCTGCTCTTGGTCTCACGTGTCTTTCTTTCTTTACCTTCTTTCTTGTCTCTTCTTTAGATTTACAGGATCTTTTTCACAACTTCACATTTCCCCTCAGTTTATCGGGTAGCTATGCACTCTGTTCTCCTGGTGGTCGCCTGGAGAAGGGCTGCGTGCAGGCGCCCCTGGGCAGCAGGGTCTCCTGATTGGGGAGCCGGGGCTCTTCTGCCCCAGCCCATCATGACCGCGGCCGCCTGTGCGGTGGGATCTACCCACCACCCCCGCTGGGCCCTGCGTGCCTCCCCGCGCGTCCCTCTCCCAGAGGAGCACACAGGCCACCAGTGGGCCCTGGGGGGGACCTATGACAGGAAGATGGGTGAACTTTGTCAGGGACACAATGGGGGCTGGTCCCTGAGCCAGTGACATGCGGGTTGGTAAAAGACTTTACCAGAGATAAAATAGGAGAACAGAGGAGGAGTGTATTAGGTCACACTGCCATGGGCAACAGCGGCTGCAGGCTATTGGGTCCGAGGCCACCTTTATCCTGTAACTGCAGAGACCCGGGCGGGCAGTCTGGGCACGGCGGGGTCCTGGGCGGGGTCCTGCCAGGCGTGGGCACCAGTCTCCTCGATCTCCAACTCACACTTCCGGCGGGAGCACAGCCCTGGAGCCCACGCAGGGCCCGCGGGCCGCAGCCTCCCCGCCCTGTGCGTCTGGACACGCGCTTAGTCGGCTGTCCTTCGCCAAGGTTGTCTGGCTGAGTTTGGACTCAAGGTTGGCACGTGTTTTCTATAAGTCCGAGTAAGAGACGTGTCACTTTCTGGCTCCCACGGGCCCAGAACACCTTTCACGTGTGGCTGGTGGGGTCCGTTCCTTCATCCTGCTCGGCGGCTGCCAGGCTCCTCCAGCCTGTGACTTGGTGTCTGTCATCAGCTGTGAGCGTCCCCGAGCTCTGCCCTTCAGACACGGTCTCTCTGCTCAGATGCCACGTCTGTCAGACCTTCGCCGCCCACCTGCCCTTCTCGCTCTGTCCTCTGGACAGCACTGTGCTCTCTGCTGGCTTCTGGGTAACTCCTTCTGCTTGTCTTCCAGGTCACTGTTTCTTTCTCTTGCTGCATCCAGGCTGGTGCCAAATAAGCCCACCGAGTGCTGAGTCTCCCTTCTCAAGGGCTGTGGGTTCTCTTCCGAATTTGCTGTTTTTAGAATGCCCGGTCCCTGCTTGATATTGGGAGCGTGTCTCTATAATCACGTGAAGCAGAGCCACCTCCCGAGGCTGGGCGCCTATGGTCTGCAGGCTGCCCTGCGCCGCTGCCCCTGCCTGATCTCACTCCCTGCTTCTCTTTGGCCACGCCCTGCTCTTCACTGGGGGGATGCTACTTCTAGGTGGCACCAATGCCTGGGGTGACGCTGCCTCCTCCAGGCCAGCCTAGCATCTGCTTCTGGCAGCTCCTAGGGGACACCACTGTCCCCCGTTCCCCCTCCGCCCCATTCCACTGAGCTCTCCTGCCCTCTATTGCCAACTCTGCTCACCATGGTGCAGCCTGGTCATGGGCCCCTGGGCCTCACAGAGAGTGAGCTCAGCTCTGAGATCAGGGTGCCCCTGGCTGCATGGCTGGAGCTGAGTCTGGCAGGCACAGCCAGGGCTGTGGAGCCGGGGCCGGCAGTGGCGCAGCAGTAACTACCCTCCCCCCGCTCCAGCCACACCTGCACCCTGTGGCGGGCGCTGGCCGTGGAGCCTGGGCTCACCGCGCAGGTCCTGGGGCTGCTCCTGGAGAAGATAAGCAGGGACGTCCCATTCAAGGAGAGCCGGGCCTTCCTGCTGAGCTCCTGCCCCACCCGTGTGGCCACCCTGCTGCCCCTCGCGGTGAGTAGGGCCGGCGGCCGCGCAGGCCCATTCCCCTCCTCCCTGCTTGGTGAGGCCGGGCGAAGGGCTGCATTGTCGCAGGTGGGAGGACCCCACAGAGGGCCTGGGTGCCACCCCCCAGGCACCTGGTGGCTGACTGGGGCCACGGAGCCGGGGAGCTCAGAGCCCAGGCTCGTAAAGGCCCTGCAGGTGTTGGTCCTCAAGGGAGACCACTCTGTTTCATCCCGAGGAAAAAAAATTAACCCAGCTTGGCAGCGTTTCCACAGTAAAGCAGCTGTGAGAATCTCCTCCTCCCTGTGGAGGAGCCAAGAGCAGATGGTGGGAGGCCGGCCCGGCGGCCATGCTGCCCTCCCATGGGGTGCTGGGGTACAGGGTCCGGCCATCACCATGCCCTGCCCCAGGGGGAGGGGTGAGGCTGAGGCGGCCCCTGTCCCCAGGCCACCTGTGCATTGTACGAGGTCGCATCCACCCCAGCGTCGGGGCCCGCCGTGCTGGAGCTCTACCCCCAGCTGTTTGCAGCACTTCTGCTGCGTGTCAGCTGCACCGTGGGCGTCCAGTTGCCCCGGAACCTGCAGGCCAAGGAGAGGAGGAGCACCGGCTCGGGCCTGGCCTCCAGGAACCTTGAGCCCTGCAGGTAAGCAGGTCCTCACCCCTCGCCCCTCCCGTGAGCACAGGCTCATGCCGGGCAGTGATGGCAGAAAGGGCCTCAGGTGGTGGGGAGGGCCCAGGAGTTGTGCCCAGGGAAGGGGGCAGTACCTCCTCTGATGATGTCTGTCAGGATGGGGACCATGGGGGTGGCGGCTGCACGTCTGTGGAGCTTTCCAGAGACATCACGTGAGTCCCAAGCTGTGCCTTCTTTGGGAAGGCAGAATTCGAGGAACATTTGGGGTGTGGCAGGGTCTGAGTGAGCCCCACCCACAACCCCGTCCTTGCCGCCTCGGTCCCCAGCCCCAAGTCCTGGCCCTTTCTACACTTGATTAGGGCCCCATCTTAAACGAACGCTGCAGCGGTCTCACGGCCTCCCCCTGAGGGCCCTCTCACCTGGCTGGCCCCAGCCTGTTCCCTGGGGAGGGCCCAGCTGCCTCACCAGCAAGGCCTGGCCAACTGCACACCAGGCTGCCTGCCCCAGCCCGTGCCGGCCCTTCCCTCAGCTCTCACTGGGGCCTGCGACTCTGGGGTCCTGGAGCAGAAGGCCGGGGCTGTAGTGGGGAGCCGCTTGCTGCGGGCACTGGGTGCAGAGCCGAGGCAGCCCAGCTGTCTGCCTGCCTGGCCTGGCCCTGGGCCATTCCTGGGCCCTCGCGGTGGCACTTGAGGCTCCAAACAGCGGCCTGGGGCCAGCGGAGCCTGAGTGACAGTGAGCCTGGCCATCTCCCCACCCATCCCCAGTGTCCGGGGTTGCAGGTGCCCCTTAGCTGGGGACACATGAAGGGTAGCGCCAGTTCGCCCCACCTCCTGCAGGGCTGCTCCACCACAGAACAAACTCGTAAACTCCAGCAAAGGCTGCGTGCCAGGGACGGCCCGACTCAGCACAGACCAAGTGGAAAATGTGAACGGACCCGCGGACACCGGCCTGACCAGCCCTGGGCTTGGCATGCCGGGACGCAGCGCTGTGGTCTGTGAGCTGTGGGGGCTGCGAGCCCGACGCCCCCAACAGGGGTCCTTGGGCTGCACCCCTGCCCTGGACACGTGCAGAGCTGGGCCCAGGCCTTGGCTCTGAAAGGGGGCTGCCAGCCAGCGAGTCAGACCCTGGCAAGTATCACAGCCACCGAAATTCCAGGTGGCAGGGTGAATGGGTGGGGGCACCCTCATCGAGGTGCTTGACCTCTTCCTAACCTAGGCCTGCCCCCCACCACTTCTGGTTTGTCGGCAGCCAGCCACCGACTGCCCCGAGCATGCCCGGCCCATCCTGGTCTAGATGGCGCCTTGGCTGAGCTTTGAGGCCTGTAGTGGGCTGTGGGGCCAGCAGAGCTGCTGGGCCTGGGTGTGGGCTGGGGACCAGCCCGGACTGGCCGTGGCCCTGTGGGCCTACATCCAGTGGTGAGGGACTCCTGTCCAGTGACCACAGTGGCTGGCATGGTCCTTCTGTGCCTGCAGTCAGTGTGGGCCCTCCACAGGAAACACAGGGCTTTGGGGACAGTGCCCTTCTAGTGCTTTCTTTGGGGAAGGGGCCCAGCTGTGGCTGTCTTAGGACACACGGTGGGGGCTCACAGGGAGCCTGTCCAGCTGTAGGCAGACACCAGACCACCCCTGCTGACATCTCCAAGGTGACTGGGGATGGGGCTGAGCCAGGGTGAGGGCAGTCGGTTGTGTACATGCTGCTGGGCTCAGGTGAGCCCACCAGCATCTGCTTTTTGGGCTGTTGAAACCCCTGGTCTTGGACCCCAAAGACCCCTGCGTGGCCCAGGGCCCTTGCTCCTGATATGGGACTGGTCTGGAAATCTCACAGGACCAGTCACAGGGTCCCAAAATAGCTTGCCAGGTTCTCCTGTACCCACCCTGCCCCTCCTTAGATGTATGTGAGGCCCCACCACGCAGCCAGCAAGGCCTGGCCCTCGTGCTCCAAACCCCCTGCCCCCCCCACCTCGCCCCTCGCCACCCCCACGCCCGCCTCGACGCCTCTCCAAGGTCCAGGAGCTGAGCTGCCAAGGCC